AAGGGCTGCTACCCGACAAAAGATCAGCACGCCAGATTCTACTGAACAATAACCTCCTTCAGGTAGCCAAGAATTTGTTGGAAAAAATCTTGTTCAAGCGACCTTCGACTCCACATTTATTCCTAGTATCAATACTGAAGGTAGTTATCAAGAAAGGCCTATTGATTCTCGGAAAAAGAAAAGGGTTCAGGTTACTAAACCTGATCCTAAAGATCATGGAAAACAGTCTCGTCCTTCAAAATAGTCAGTTCCCACTAGACCTTTTGTTGTTAAGTTAAGCCATCTATTGGAAACTTTATTTGATCCAAAGCTTCGTGAAAAATATAACTCGTACTCTACGGATGAAATGATTGAAAGGTATAAGTATTGCAAAGAGTTTTTTGTTCGTTCAACTTCCTTTGTTGATATGGGTCTATTACAATTGTTTGACCGTCAAGAACTTTTAGCTAAACTCGGAGAACTGCGTTCTTTAAGGAACAATTTAATTCTGAAAAAGAATACTTAAGTAAGGAAAGTGGAAATCTGAAAAGCCAAAAAAAATTGCTGCTGGAAATTCTCGCAAGACTGCTGAAGATAACTTGGCAACCATCAAGAAAGAAAAAGATGATCTCAAGAAGAATTTTGATGAATTAGACCTCCAAGTTGCCAAATTGGAATCAAGCAATCAAAATATGAATAAGGAAGTCGGTCATCTCAAGGAAGAGGAAGAAAAATAATGAAAATCTGGAGTCTTTTGGCATCATTGTTCGCGGTCGCATTCTAGATCAGATTACTTTTTATAATCCTGGAATCGAGCTTCAAGATCTTGAAAAGATCGACATTTATAATTATGATGAGGGTTCTGACTTGTTTACTGATGGTACAAATGGTGAAAAAGTCTTATTCGATCTCGTCCCGTTGAAGAATGTATCCCTGGTATCAATTCTGAAGCCCTGATTTCATGACGATTGAAGTTTCGACTTTGCGAAGAGGTGGTATGCCACCATATTTTGTAAAAGTTTTTTGGTCGGGAATGCCAGCTTTAAGCTGATGTATTAAAAAATTTTATTTTGCTTTGCTAATGTTGCGACTTCGGCAAGTGCATCGGTCGTAAAAGTAATAAAAGTGTACCGAGTACGAGATCATTCCCACGAGGATTGGTTTTCAAGCATTAGTTCGCTAACAATGATTTAGTTGGACAACAAAGATTGAGATGAAGAGAAGTGAAATTAAAAACAATTAATAACATGCAAATTAAAATTCAAAATTAGAAAGCAATTGAAAAGATGATTGATTAAAGATTTAAAACAAGCGTAGTTAAGGTTTCGAATTTCCCCAATCTCCTCTATATGCAATGAATTAAATTGTCAAGAATCCTTTCTTAATATAATGCCAATCAATCCTTTCTTAATATAATGCCAATCAATTCTTTCTAAGTTAATTAACGCTCAATTCCTTGTTACCCTAAATCTATATGATCTTGAAAGAACTCTAGTTCTCCAATTATTCCCCAAGAAAACATGCATTAAGATCAAGAATTTAAAGATTGCACAATTGCCTATGTCTATCCCTAGATCATAAGGATTATGATAAATTTATCAAGTCAGGGTTCATGCACCAACATCCCTATTGTCATACAATTCCCCAAAATCAATCTATAAGGAGCAAACTCATAGAAAGCATTAAAGACAGATAAATTTATTCAAATATAAAAAGAAAAGAGTTCGGAGACAATTTAATTCAAAACATACGATTCAATTGGGTTCCATCTACCCCTAACTACATAAAAATCTAGCCTAGCATACTGAATTCAAAAGCAATAACAAAGAAAAGACAACCCCAAGCCTCCATTGGTGTGATGTTGGCTTGGTTCCTCAGTGCTCCAATGCTCCACAACAGGGTTCCTCCTTTAGGTCTCTGTGTAATCTCTGATTTTTTGAATTAGTTAATTGGTGAATTCCATTGACCCCAAGCTCCCTATTTATAATCTTTGAAGTCATATCTTTTAATTCTTCATCAAATCTCCCCATGAATCTCTATCAATTCCCAATGAAATCTTGATTTGTTTGTGTTTTTATTTAAGATCCTGCAGATTGGGCTTCAAATCTTTGTTATGATTCCTTTATCACTTCTTAGCACCAAATCTTGTGGATTTACCTTCAAAATGAACAAGATATCAAAACATTAGCTCAATTCTCAAATCTTTATGATTTTATCATATAACACCTTGATTCCATGCAATCTACCATATAATTCTTGTAGAATTTAGCATAAAAACATGGTAAACCAAGGGTTTATCATCTAACTTTGTCATTATCTTGCTTGGACTTTGATTATCTTGGTGTTATTTCTGTTTAAACAAGAATTATTTTCTTGCTTCCAAGGAGGAAAAGGATGGGTGCCCAAGAGGCAAAACTTGTGGCGACAAGGGATTTTGTTTATTATTATTTTTGAATTAGAACTCATTTTGTCAGACATACAATTTAAAAACTTGGAAAGCAAATAATTCCTAACTCAATGAACATTAAAAAAAAGTCATAACAAAATTCTATCTTCCTGAACAAAATAAACTAAAGACATGAATCTTGGCGAGTTCTTTGTCCTTGAAGAATTAACTGAAATACCTCTTAACTTTAGCTGCATTCCAATGTTTTGGAATAAATTTTCTGTCTAGATGCTCAAGTTGGTAAGCTCCAGAGTGAGTGCATGGTGCTACTCGGTATGGACCTTCCCAGTTAGCCGCCAACTTTCCATCGGCATCATTCTTATTCTCGTCATCTTTCCTTAAGACTAGGTCTCCGACTTCAAAAGACGTTTTAACTACAACCTAGTTGTACCTAGCCGTTGCTCGCTATTTTGAGGCTAACTTAATGATTGTAGTTTTCTCCCTTTGTTCCTCCAACGAGTCTAAACTAATCTCCATTAATTCTTCATTTGCTTCTTCCTTCTCTTCTTCTATGATTCTCCTTCTCCAAGAAGGTTCTCCGACTTCCACCAGGAGAATTGCATCAAACCCATTAGTCATTTTGAAAGGGGTTTCTTGTGTGCTGGACATCGAGGTCTGTTACCCCCACAACACATTATCGAGCGAATATAGCCATTTACCTTTGCACCCCTCTACTTTTTTATACAGCTCGTTGCTGAGGATTTTGTTGGCGGACTCCACTTTGCCATTTGTCTGCGGGTGCTCTACTACTGAAAAATGATGCTTTACCCAAGATCAGCTACGGCTTCTTGAAACTTCTTATCTATAAACTGAATGTCGTTATCCCTGATGATTATGGCGGATATGCCAAATCTACAGACAATTTTTCTATAGAAGAATTTTTCAACTTTTCGGGATATGATAGTCGCTACGGGCTTCATTTCTATCCACTTTGTAAAATAATTGGCTGCCACTATAAGGTACTTGATTCTTCCCACCGCTCTTGGGAATAAGCCTAAAAGGTCCATTCCCTACTTGTAAAAGGGCCAAGGAGAGAAAATAGTGAATAATTCTTCAGGAGGGGCTTTGTGGACATTAGAAAAAATTTGGCACTACTTGCATCTCTGCACATGCCTCCTGGCGTCTTCACCCATAGTCGGCCAAAAATAATCAGCCTGTATTGCTTTTCTTGCTAGCGACTTCCCCTCTAAATGATGCCTATTTATTCCTTCGTTAATTTCCCCCAACATATATTCAGTAGCCGATGGAGCAATACACTTTAACAGAGACAAGTTGAATCCCCGCCTATATAATTGTTCTTTTGAAACCACAAACCAGGCCGCCCTTCTTACCAACTTAGTGGCTTCTTTTTTATCTCCTGGCAACTCTCCCTTCTTCAAAAAATACACAATTGGATCCATCCAGGTTCCTTCTTCAATTGCACAGACATTACTCAGAGCTCGGCCATTTTGTTATACTATCATCCTCAAGTTGCCTGTGGTCTTACTACTCGCCAACTTTGAAAGTACATCTGCTTGAATATTATCGTTTCTACTGATATGCTCAACCTGAACTTCTTTGAACACTTTCATTAATTCTGGAATTTTATAAGATACCTCATCATAATATCACCTCTTGCTTGGTACGCACCATTAATTTATGAAGTAGCGAGTTGCGAGTCTCTATAAACATGAAGGAACTCGGCCCCCAATTCCTTAGCATGAATGAGCCCGATGATCAGCGCCTCGTACTTAGATTTGTTGTTACTCGTTGGGAATTCCAATGTCAACGAGTGCTCGACAGTAACCCCTTTCGAGTTCTCAATTATAATGCTTACTCCACTTTCTTGCTCATAAGAGGATCGATTAACATATAATTTCCACCATACATCTGCATCTTCACTTCCCGGGTGGGTCATCTCCATTAAAAAATATGCTAAAACTTGTGCCTTTATTGCACTACGAGCTTTAAAACAAATATCAAACTCAGAAAGCTTGATGGCCCTGGCGACCATCCTTCCCATCAGGTCCGACTTTTTAAGCAACTGCTTTATGAGCTAATTCGTCCTTACGACTGTCGGGTGACATTGGAAGTAAGGCCAGAGCCTCCTAGCCGGCGTTAATAACGCAAATGCCACATTTTCAACTTGCTGGTACCGAGTTTCAGAAGCTTGCAATACTTTACTTATAAAGTACACCAGCTTTTGGCCTCCATCTTCTCCTTCTCGGATAAGAACTGAGCTAACCGTCTAATGCGAAACAAACAATTATAAGTATAAAATCTCATTGGCTCCAGCTTGCTGAGAATGGGGGAGAAGCTAATATTTGTTTCAGGTCTCAAAAAACGACTTCGCATTTATCCTTCTATTCAAAATTATGCCCCTTCTTCGATAATTGAAAAAATAGTAACGATGTTTGAGCCAATTTGCCCAAAAATCTGGATAAGGCTGTTACTCGCCCATTCAGCTTTTGCACTTCTCTGATATTTCTTGGACTCTGCATTTCTAGCACATCCCGACATTTATCCGGGTTCACCTCAATTCCTCTTTCGGTCAACAAAAAACCTAGAAACTTTCCCGCTGGAACTCCAAATGCACATGTGTAAGGTTCAATCGTATATTGTGCTTCCTGATCTGTGCAAAAACCACTTCTAAGTCAAGAAAATGAGCTCGAATGTCTGCCGACTTCACGATCTTGTCATCCATATATACTTCGAGCATCCTTCCCATCTGCTCCTTAAACACCTTCGTCATCATTCTCATATGAGTAGCCCCAACGTTCTTCAACCCAAAGGGCATCACCTTATAACATTACATTGCATCCTCTGTTATAAAAGATGTCTTCTCTTGGTCTCCCTTAAATAAGGGTATCTGATTATAGCCAGAGTATGCATCCATGAAAGAAAAATCTTATAGCCGGAAGCATTATCTACCACCTAGTCAAGTTCCTGTAATCTGTGCACATCCTCCATTTTTCATCTAGTTTCCTTATCAACACCGGGTTTGCAAGGTATATAACATATTCTATTTCTCGTATAAACTCGGCCTCTAACAGCTCCTTCACATTTTCTTCGATTGTTGTTCTCCTCTCCGGGCAAAACTTCCTTTTTATTCTAAGCAACCGGCCTGGAACCCGGCTTCACCGATAACCGATGGCAAGATAAGGCCGGATCTATTCCTGGCATGTCTGACGACTTCCAGCCAAATAGATAGCCATTCTTCCTTAACAAATCTCTCAACCCCAGTGCAACATTTTCTTCTAAGTCGGAGCCAATCTTCGTGGCCTGCCCTGAGGTGCTTCTAATATGTGAGTCAAACTCAACCATCATAGTTTGAGGTTCTTTTTTTTCTTCACTTACCTCTTTTTCTTTTTCTTCTTCATTCTTCTTCTCCTTCTTTCGGCTTCTGCCTTCATCACTTTTCTTCTCCCTCTTCTTACTTCAGTTCCTCATTACTTTTCCTCTTAGCTTCCCTTGTCTTATTAGATGCTTGCTCACTCTTCTGTAGCATTCTCAAACTCATGTTATAGTAGCATTGTGCTACCACCTGATCAGCTTTAACAGTTGTTGTGTTCCCATCTTTCGCCACGAACTTCATGGCTAGTTGGTCAATGGACAAAAAGATCTTGAACTTCTTCGTGAAAAGCCTGCCAAGTATAACATTGTAGGCGGACGTGAAATCCACCACCACGAATGACAAAGACATCGTTTTATGAGCAGGTGCCTTTCCTAATGTCAATCTCAAATTTATATAACCCACCAGCTTGATCTTGTCTCCTATAAATGCTACCAAGCCAGCTCCACATGGTTCTCACTGGTCGTGGTCCAAATCCAATTATTTGAACGCATCCCAAAAAATGATGTCCATCGAGCTTTCGGGATCGACCAACATCCTATTTACCCAATAATTTGCCAGGAGCCCGAAAATCACTAATGCATCAGCATGCTCCGAATCTAGCACTTCATCATCAAAATCATCAAAAACCACCTGCTTGCCTGTCTTCCTCCGTTCCTCATTAAATCGAGGTCTATCCGAGATTCTCATACAAGTCTTCAAATGTTTCTTTCGAGCATTGCTTGACTCTCCTTCACCTGCGCGTCCTTCGGCTATCGTACAAACATGTCTGACCTGTGCATAGTTGAATGATGAAGAAGCGGGTCCATTTTCTTTTCTTTATCGACCCCCTTCCTTCTTTCACCAGGTGGGCTCCGACTTCTATCTGACCTTTTCCTTCCTATTTGTCCTTCTTTACAGCTAGGGGTGATAAACGAACCAAGGGCCTTTCAGGGGCCTTTGGTTCGGCTCGTGAAGATCTGAGCTTACATGCCTAAAATTAGTTGTTGGAACCAGGCTTGGACTTGTATAAAAACTCGTTTAATAAAAAGGCTTCAGGCTTCAATTCAAAAGCTCGGTCTTAGAGTTTCTCAGGCTTACCTAGTATATTGATTTTTATTTTTATTTTATATTTTTTATACTACTTGTAATAGCCATCTCTCTCTCCTCAATTCATTTCAACCCATTTTATTGGTTAAACAAACTTTTTGAATGATTTTGTTCTATATTATGTTGTTTGGATATACATTGAATTTATGAATATTTATAGAATTACTAGTATCGTTGATTGTACATTTTGTTTGGATAAATTTTTGTTGTCTTATTTTTTTTAAACAGACTAACAGGCTAAATCAGGCTTTCTTTTTTTGTAAATAAGTCAGGCCACAGGCCGATAATTATATTCCTAACAGGTAGCAGGCTTGATCAGGCTGACACATTTAAACACAAGCTTAACCTTTTAAGACCAAAGCTCGGCTCGGCTCGACCTATTAACACCCCTATTTACAGCCATCTAGTCCTCCCCATCTAACATATTTTTTGACGCTTGCCTTCCCTAATCATTGCTTAATTGCATCTCACAAATTGAAGCACTTATTTGTTATGTGCCCATAACACCTATGAAACTCACACCACTTGGTTCTGTCTATTTGAGCATAAGGCAACCTGATGAGAGACGGCCTCTACACGTTCCCCATCTCCGTGTTCATTACTTCCTTCAAAATTTGTTCCCGAGAAGTATTTAAAAGGGTATACTATCCCTTAAAGTCCCCCCGAAATCTTTCTCCTATTAACTGGGGTCTTCTTTCTTCCCCCTAACCCCTTCCAGTGGGTCTATCTGGTCTTTGTTTCTGAGCAGTTTCTCGAAAACTATGTTAAATCTCCCTCTGGATGCTTGGAACTCCTTCAAATCAATGTACTTTCGAATTTTGTCTAACAACTCCTCCTTCGTGGCCGGCCTCTTTTTTGCAAGAGAGTTAGCCAGGCTGCCAGATTGTAACCTGGTCGTAAACAGCAGTAGATACATTTGATTTTCCAGGCCATAAACTTGCCTAGGTGCTTGAAAACGCTCGTAATACTCTCTCAACTTCTCCCCGGGCTTTTGTATTACCCCACAAAGATTATGGGTAGTCTTCGATAAAGGTCCACAATGAGCAAACTGTTGGGTAAAACGCAACGCTAAGTCTGACCAACTATCAATACAGTTATCTGGAATTGTAGTAAACCACTTCAGAGCCTGCTTCCTTAAGAAAACGGGAAAAGTCCTACAAAGTAAAGAAGTTGTCTCCCCACAGAGTGACATCGCCGCTCGAAAGACGGTAATAAACTCCCTTGGGTCTGAACTTTCGTCAAATGTCTTCAAGTCATTTGGTTGCTTAAACCAAGCCGGAATGGGCTTCGCCCTCAACCTCCACGTTATAGGAGTTCTGGATGATCCTGGTACTGCCGGTCCTGCATGGAACTACGGCGGGAAAGGTTTATACTGGAAAGGTTCCCGTGGTGACACTATCATGTGTTGGTTTCCTTGATATGGTCCTCCAGGAAACGCCCCCTGGGTGTACAGGGCTTGGGTAAATTGCCTGCAATCTATGTTATGGTGGTAGGACTTGGTAACCACCATGAAATCCCTGATGAGCAGGATAGAAAAGTTGGTCCTCTAGTTGACGGGCATTATAATTCTTGTATTCGTCATAATGATTACCCGGTTGACGAGCATAATGATATTCGGGTTCCTGGTGCTGATTCTCCATGTGGCAATCATGGTGATGCTCGTGACCATCATATTGGTTTTCTGTCTGGCGGGTATGGTGATGCTCATGATCATCATAATGGTTCTCCGTCTGGCGGGCATGCCAGGCTCATCATTTTGAACTTCCATCTGGCGCGCATGATAATGCCCATACTCCTGAGGTCTGCCTTCTCTTCTATCATTCCTCCTTCTCTCCTCATAATAAATCATCGACTCGGACTCGCGAGTGTACTCTGCATGTACTTATTCTTGATTCACCATGCTAACCTCATGACCTATACTCCTATTGGCTTGCCTTTTTGGCGGGCTCCTGGATGGAGGAGTTTTCCTGCCAATTAATTGGTGATCTCCCTGCGAATGGTGCTAGCAGTTCATGGATTATCTTCATGACAGACATTGTCCTATCCCCGAGGGGGAGTCAATAAGATATAACTTGGAGCAGGGGATCTCGAGGCTCTAGCTCGGTTCCCTTGCAGAGGCGTATTTCCATGTCATGGCCTATCCTCAGAACAAGGCCTTCTCCTCCTCCTTCCATCCTGGTGTTGTTGTCTGAAAAAGGCTCATTGATCTTCTACCAATTGGAGCAATGCTCGCCCTATAGTGTTAAGGGAACGACTCCTAGCATCAGATTAGAAAGAATCCTTCTCATCATCAGCAGGGAGTGGTTCATTTTCGGTTCGATGTTGATGACTGCCCTTATTAGCCATTGTAAGAGGTAGGAATAAAAGTTTACAGTTCCCACAAACGACGCCAGATTTTCTGAGTGAACACCAACAAGGATAAAGGTAAATATGTGAAGGGTATAGGTAACGAATAAGGTCTGAGGTGTATGGTCTATCTGTAGGTGAAGTGCTAAAATGCTATATATCCGATGTTGACTATAAGTCCCTCTTCCTGTGGTATTTCTATGCTTATATAACCTTTACATGCAGGATTTACACAAAACGTGGGATATAGAAATCGTGGTTGTATTAAGTAGTTAAGAGGTGATCGTGAATATGATCGAGCAGGAAAGGATCGTGGGTTTAAACCCACAATCCGAGCTCCCAGTCTGAAGTCCCATAATCCAGGCTCATGGCCTATGAGGCTTGTCGGAAGTACTCGTCAAAAAAGAAGGAATTTAGAAGTCTAACTAGGTCCAGTTCCTAACCAAATGCATTGGGCTTCAAGCCCATTGAAAAGGTATAAACCTGAAATACCATCCAATTTTCGAGCAATGGTTAAAAAGTTTAATTTGTACTAAAAATTTATTTTTATGCAATATTAATGTGATTTTTATACACATTATCATTTCGGTCATTTTTTTTTTTTAAAAAAAAAAAAACTTGCTTATCCCAAAATTGTTTTCTAAGATTTATTTTAAATAAAAAACAAAACAAAATTGTTGTCTAATTAAGACATTTGTTCATCTTGGACGGAGTGAGCTACCATCTTCTCAACTGAGGGTAAGAAGCAGAGAGAGAAGCGGAACCCGTCAGTGAAAAGATAACATTAACATTAACACACGACTCGACTATGTTCAATTCAACGAGGTATGCTCTTTCCATATTCCACTTTTCTCTGAGATTCACTCAATCTTCCACTGCTTCTCTGTCCTTGATTAAGTTATATTCTCCTCATTCTCATAACATTGACGAAGTTGTCTCCTCTTTCATGTCCGCTCTCGCTAAGCGTCATCCTCCCTCTGTAATTGAATTTAAAAAGATTTTGGGGTCTATTGTTAAGATGAAAGCATACCCTACTGCTCTTTCACTCTTTACTCTTATGGACTCTAAGGGAATCACTCTTTCCATTATTAGTTTGAACATCTTGATCAATTGTTACTGCCACTCGGGTCGGATGGATTTTTCTTTTTCTGTATTGGGTAAGATTATCAAGATGGGTTACGAAATGGATACCATAACTTCGACAACCCTAATAAAAGGACTCTGTCTAAATGGAAAGATTAGGGAAGCTCTGGAATTTCATGACAGGGTGAGAGCATTAGGATTTCGGCTCGATGAGGTTAGTTACGGGACATTGATAAATGGGTTATGTAAAATGGGAGAAGTAAGAGCTGCCGTTGAGTTGCTGCTAAAGCTGGAGAGGCAACCGATTAGGCCCAATTTAGTAATGTACAATACAATCATTGATGGCTTATGCAAAGATGGGCTTTTAACTGAGGCAAACAATTTGTTTTCTAAGGTAATTGCCCAGGGAATTTCTCCTGATGTAGTAACATACAATTCTCTAATTCATGGTTTCTGCTGTGTCGGTCAATTGAAAGAAGCAACTCGATTGCTGAATGAAATGGTTGAACAAAACATCAACCCAAACCTATATACACTTAACATTTTGATTGATGCATTATGTAAAGAAGGAAGAATGATAGAAGCCCACAAGATATTTGATATGATGTTGGAAAGAGGTCCTAAGCCTGATGTTGTGACTCACAGTGCTTTAATGGATGGATACTTTTCAATCAATAAAGTGAATGAGGCAAGAGAGCTATTTGATGATATGGACAAAATAGGTTTGACACCAAATGTTAATAGTTATACCATTATGATTAATGGATATTGCAAAAATAAAATGGTGGATGAAGCTGTAACTCTCTTTAAAGAAATGCGTCATAAGAATTTATTTCCAAATAGTGTAACATACAATTCTCTTATTGATGGCTTGTGCAAATCTGGGAGAATAACATGTGTGCAAGATATTTTAGATGAGATGTATCAACATGGTCAAACCCTTAATTTAATTACTTACAATATATTGTTAGATGCTCTATGCAAAGCCCAACACCTTGACGAGGCAATTGCATTATTTCATAAAATTGTTAACAAAGGAATACGTCCAAATATGTACGTATACAATATTCTTCTGAATGGTTTGTGCAAAGGGGGAAGACTAAAGACTGCAGAAGAGTTTTTTCATCATCTTTTGATCAATGGCTATAATCTAGATGTTCGGACTTATACTATTATGATCAATGGATTATGTAAACACGGCTTGACTGATGAAGCAACAACTTTATTTTCAAAAATGAAAGTCAACGATTGCCTGCCTAATGCTGTAACTTACGAAACAGTTATTCGTGCTCTTCTAAATAAAAATGAGAAAGAAAAGGCAGAGAAGCTTCTTCGTGAAATGATCAATAAAGGCCTGCTAAAGGTAGAGAACTTGGTGAGATAAGTTTCATGTAACTCTTACTTTTTTTTAGTGTTTTATTTTCTTAGATTGCTTGAAGAATCTTGTTTTGAATTACTATGCTCTAAGTATCTTATATTTATATGTTGAACTTACATCACCCCTGTGGTGCTGCCTTTGCTTGGTTTATGTGATAAGGCACTTAATTAGTTTAATTAACTGTTGCAGTGTTCTTAGTCATTGTTGTCTAGATAGTGTCTTAAAGATTGAGTTCAGACTTGTTATCTACAATTGTATCAGGTTTGATATATTAGAAACCAACGTAAGATTGGTGTGACTGTTCAATGTTCACTTCTCTAAACCTTAACTCATTTTACCATGAGTGATAAAAACAAAATACAAACATGTTCATTTTCACTTCCCTATATTTTTGTTATGGTTTTCCTGCTGCTATGAAAATGTTATCATACACATATTTTATTTGCATGTCAAATCTAACAGTTTTATAGAAAGTTTGGATTTTAGTTTTATGGTAGTACTATATCCTTTATAGTATCTCTTTATGGTTAGCTCTGCACTGAATAGATAAACTTTTCTCGTCTTCTATTCAGGATCCAATGTCTACTATTCCCTGGGAGATGGAACAGATTCTAGAAAAGGAACTATGCTCATCTTGAAGACTAGATAGTATAATATAATATGTACATTCTCAGCCTTTCCATATTCTAGTCAGTTTAATTGACTGTTGCGGTGTTCTAAGTCATTGATTGCCGGTAGTGTTTCAGTTCAAATGTTTGGATAGTGTCCCAAATATTGAGTTCTGACTTATTATCATTTTATTCTACAATTAAATCCGGCTTAATATATTAAAAACCAAGCCAAGATTGATGTGACTATTCGATGTTTATTTATCTCTAAACCTTAACTCATTTTACCATTAGTGATAAAACCAAAACAGAAACATGTTCATTTTTTCCCCTGGTGCTATGATATACTTTATTTGCAATGTCAAATCAAACTTCTTAAGGTTTTTGCAATTTTTTTGTCATTATATTACTTCTCTAAATTTCTCTAAAGAGGTTGAGCTTCGAGGAGTGCTAAAGTTACTACTATGCGATTGAAAGGCCATAAGTTCACATCTAGGAAACTTTCTCTTTGCAAAAATGTAAGGGTAGAGCTATAAACAAGAATTTTCCTTACCTCTGCCCACACTTGTTGGGGTTGAATGGGGAGTGGTGGTTTTATATTACTTCTCTGAAAAGAGAAAA